CACAGAGTTAAATAAAAGGCCAAAATCTTTTTTCCTCTTTTCCACTTGGAGTTTTGGGAAGAGCTGCTGAAGATAAAAGGTAAATGAGATAAGAGAACTAAATAAATGGGGCTGATTCTGTGGTATTTCAGGCCTCAGCCCTTAACCAAGCCCATTCTGACAGCTAAAAACCTACCCCTCAGGGAAAAGATCCATCCACAACTAGGTAGAGTGAGCCTGACACAACTCACATATCCATCCCAGGGCTCAGAAGAGCCACAGGAATTGGGAACCTCCGACAAAGGCTGAAGAGAGCCTCAGCAGCATTCTTCCTCTCCTCTACCTCTCTTTCAGACTACAAATGAAGTGAATAGAACAACAAATACCCTGTCTTCAGATTATAGGTAGGAACGGGACACAAACAGTTCTCAGTCAAGACCTGGAGGTAGCCAAGGAGAATCCATCACTACTTCAGAGCAAACAGAAAGTCTGAGTGGCCCTCCGCAAGCCATGCAGAAGAAGGATAAAGATAAGCTACCACATTTCAAGAATAACAACAAAATTAAAGAAGAAAGCAACAGTGTTCAAAAGCCAATGAAAAACCTAGTCTGAAAAAATATATAACTCAAACAGAAGAAAATATCTTACAGTATTTCATACTTTCTTAATAAAAATGTGAATTCAATAAAAAAGTTCAAAGAGGAAGTGACAAAAACAACAGATTAAGGTTAGGCATATTCTGTGCTCAGAAAATATATTGATAAAACAAACAGGTAATAAATTAAAAATAGCAAGGCACAGAATAGATATATCTGAAAATCAAATTCCTCATGTAAAGGAAAGGCTTCTGTGAAAGCAGATAAAAGACAAAGGCATTAAAAGATAGAGTGAAGCTAATAAATGGAGAAGACCTGAGACTGTACAATTGTGTCTGCGAAGCAAAGAATCCAACAAAGCAGGAGAAGTACCCAAAATTAGAACATCCCCAAAAGTTCCATAAATGAAAATAATCCACAAAAAGGAAACAAGTGCAGGAAAATGTGAGAGAGAACAATAGACACTGAGATGAGACATATCCTGATTAAGTTATTATGATTCAAGACTAAAGAAGGAATTCTTCGGGCATTAGGCAAAAGCAAGTAATTTTTGGGAGGGATAAAATCAAGTTGTCGTAACACTTCTCCACGGTATTATCAGATGCAAAAAGAATCTCTATAGAGTCCTACGGAAAGCGTGTCCCCCAAAAACATTCACTCCAACAAAGTCATACTTAAACTATAAAGATAATAAGTGGACATTTTATTCTCAAGCACTTAAGAGTCTTCTTGAAAAATTGTCTTGCCAACCAGGACCTTAGGAATAAGGAATCTATTGTCAGAGGACTGCTAATGAACACACTAAGTCCACTTTAATACAGGAACTGTGATTACAAAACAGAATGTGAAGGTTGCAAACTCTGACAAGGTAAAAATAATAGATAACTAAAGATATTGGAAGATGGGACACAGGAGAGGGAGAAAGAATAACTGCCGATTTCCTTTTCTTATTGTAATTTTTCAATTGATCCAATCTAAAATTAAAATGTGTAGCAAAAATACATAATAATTCCAATCTCGTTTTGCAAAATCACTTTTTTAACTTTAGAGGGATCTCTTGGGAACTGATATCTCTCATAGTAGAGAAACATTTTCTTAAAGATTGGCAATTTCTTCTGTTATACTTCAGATTCTCTTCCACAAACCTGAGTAAGGTAAAATTTAATTTTTTAATTAAAAATAGAGTATCTCATGTTGTTAAAAATAGAATATCTCATGTTAAAAATAGTATATCTCATGTTGATTTAAATTATTCCCAGCTAGCAAGTTATTCTTCTATCTTTATATATACAAAGAAAGGTACCTAGAATGCTGTCCAATTAATGTTCAAAATGGTTAATTGGGGAGGTGGGGTCAAGAGTGAATTTTTAAATAATTTATTCCTTGTTGCATTCTGCATTGTTTAAGCATCTTATAATAGCCATGTATCACTTTTACAAACTAAAAAGTCATGTTTAAATTATAAGAGCCAAAAAACCCTTTCACTGAATTTTTAAACAAAGCATAAAATACATGTTAACTACATAAAAATTTACAGAACAGAGAACACGAAAGAAGGGAATAAAAACCACTCATGGCGCCATGTCCAGTGCCTACCGCAGTCAGCGTTTCCAGTCGTGGGATGGAAGGAACTTCACAGAGACGACATCCAATATTTAATAAATAGCCCTATGTTTTCTCCCAATACTTTTTATAGTCATATTAATTGCATTCAAATATTTATTCAGCCAGAGTATTTACTTTGGGTTTTGGTGTGAAATAAGAATTAATTTTTTCCTGCTATGTTTGGTTCATTGTGCTAAAGCCACGCACCAAACAATCCATTCTCTGCTGACCGATCTGAAATGCCACTTTTACTGAGTTTTGATATAGAATTAAATACTCTCAGGCTTGAGTACCCTCTCTCATCTCATTTCTTCAGAGACCTCAACGCACTCAGAAACCCCTGGACTATAGAGCAAACTCCTCACTCAGTCTTCTGCTCAAATATCTTCTGTCTTGGGAAGCCTTTCTTGAGTCCCACTGTCCCTTGTAGAAATAAACTCAAGGGGCAGGGGACACGTGATTATACTCTCTATGAAGGCAGGTACTGCATCTCCAAGTCGTCTTCTTAGCCTCACATTTGGTCAAGTGATACACACAGGCCCTTCAAATATCCCATCCACATAACAAGTCTTCCCAACCACTCTCTCCTGCCCACGTGCAACAATCTCAGCAGTGAAAGTCAAGAGAAAAGGCCCTAGGATTTCTGTTCATTTTTAAAACATTAACTGGAATTAAATTTCATTTCACTATCTCAATTTCGGAGACCTGTAAGCTATTAATTTTACCTTTTTCAACAAAATTTTCCCTTCTGGTTTTATTCCTGTTAATTATTTGCAATCCGCATGACACTGAGGCAGTAGCCAGTCATATATACCAAAGAGAATCTCGCTACTCCAGGCCCCGGGGTCCTACGCAGAGGCCTTGGCCCCTCACCAGACAGACATTTCTTTAGCATCAGCACTACCTTACCAAGCCCGGCTACGTGCTGAAGCAAATCTCAGAGCCCTTAACCTGCCAAGCTCTAGGCAGCTTCTTAGCCAAAGGAACTTACTGTAAACTAGTTCTAGAAATGGGCTCACTAGCCACCAGGAGTAATGATTTCAATTAATGCCTAGAGCCATCCATAAGTTCCATCCTTCTCAGGATGTAATGCTCAATCGATCAGCAGTACTCTGCCCCTCCAAAGAGAAGACAGAAAGAGAACACAGAAACACCAAAGGAAAGCCAAAAGAAGCCAAAGTGATATAGACCCTTCAATACTGGAGCCAGAACAACATGGCTGACAGTCAAGTGATCATACCCACAGGGGTATTCTCCAAACTGGGAACAAATGGAAATATCGGCCCACCCAAATCTGCATGCTATCACCACTAAAGCCACAGCTCCTGAACCTGGAACAGAAAAGACGAAGGTAGTTGCAATAGCTTTCTTCACATATTTGAAAGGCCATGATGTTTAAGAGGAAATGGATTTGTTCAGTCATATCTTCAGAGGCTAGAACTAGATCCACTAGGTAGAAATTATAGAGAAGCAGACTTCAGGTCCTAATAAAAGCGAGCTTTCTATCCAGAGATGGTCAGCATAGAGGCAGCCTACCTTGTGAAGTCGGTAGTTATTTGGTACACGTACACACACACATGCACACACACACACACACACACACACACACATACACACACTGCATAGAGAACTATATGTCAGGAATACTACCGAGGGATTCTGAACTAAGGGAGGATTAGACCAAATGACCTCCAAAGGTGTATTCTGAAACAACTGGATTCTGACCTCAAAATTTAATTAAAAAAGGGTTACTCTTCAAAGGTAAAAATTTTTTAAAAAGTACATTCGTTACGCAGAATTTTGAGAAGTATCAACCAGTGAGTATTACTGGCTTTTAATAATGTGAATTTAATAATAAAAGATTAAAAATAAGTTTGATCTTCCAAGATTTATAATTAGACACATCTGACTTTCCATCTTTAAAATAAGCTGTCTAGGTAAATTAGCTTATTAACCTCAACCAGTAAGTGAATCGTAGCCATATAGCTTATAAGATACAACATTGCACAAGAGCTGAAAGATACACATGCAAAAACTACATTACTGCATCTAAAAATAAAACCCCACTTAGTCTTCTTGATTGGCTACAAAAATGAGTGCTTGGAAACTTCTTAGCATAATTCTAAATTTAATCTCTGAGGAGACATAGATTAAAATAAAATAAAAAAAAAATAGATTCTGATTCAACCCATTCCAGCCACTGCTAGAGCAGGACAGCAAATGAAGCCAGTCTGCAGCTGAGTGAGCATATCCTCTAGCTCAAGTCCACGGCCTGTGAGAGTCTGGGAGAGGGCCCACTCCACTGATGAAACACCACGGCCCCCACTGTCCCCAAACCTGAGCCCAAACGCAATTAAAACTGAACACAGCAGGCATGAGGCCATCTTTGCAGATCCTGATGAAAATCTAGTCTTTCTTACTTTTCACTTCTGAAGGTAAATCTGCTTATCTGGCAATTTCTTAATTGCTTTAGGGGAAGGCAAACACAAATGATAAACTTTATATGAAGAAAACAGAGTTGAACAAGAAGAGAAAGAAAGGGGCCTTTGTACTTGGCAGGGGAAATGAGGGAGATGACGGGAAATGATATCAGCGTTTAGCACACACCACACTGAGGAAGATAAACAGATGCAAACAAACAAACCTGAAGTTCTGCATGAACTGTCGGAACTTGTCCACCCTCTTTGCCAGTGGCACGATAACGTTGATAAGCGTGTTGGCCATGTTGAGCTTTTCTTTTTTTACTTTCATGATAGGGCCAAACGGTCGAAACAAGACAAGTCGTCTGAATTCGTGCTTGTGGTCCCCTTTGAACGTGAGCTCATACAAAGTGCCTTTATCCTTTTCTGTGCGGTAGATCCCTATTCACAGAAACACAAGAAAAGATAGTTTTAAAAATTAACCTCGCCTACTGAGCATTCTAATAGCTGAGATCTCGCACAAAACGCCTTTTTAAAAAAATATATTAAGATTAAATCTCTACGTCTAATAATAATTATTATTAAAAGCCAATGCTCCCACTTTAAAAGCCCCAAAAGAAATAAAAATATCATTAATTTAAAAATAACAGTTATGAAAACTTCATAAAAACATGGGGAAAAGTTCGTAATGTTAGATATAAAACTGTATTTAGAGGCATCAAAGAAAGGAAATATGCCAAAACGAGACTGGCTGTGACATGAGGTAGGATTATATATTTTTTCTTTTCTGCTATTATCTGCACTTTCTGCAATATGATTAGATAAATATTATAATTGTTACATTTAATTTAAAAGCATGTTAAAATTTTCTCTTAGAAATTACAGCCATTTCAGATGAACTGACCATAAGAGTCTATTTGGGGCCAGTCTCAAGGCTCATGTGGCCCTGTGGAAGCTTCTAGAAGCATTAAAGCAGAAAACACATAAAGTACCCAGCACAGTAGCAGACACAATTTAATTAATTTCATATCGCCCTTCCTACCTCTGAGAAATGGCATAGCTCAGTGCTTCAGAGCTGGACTAGTTGGGAGGTCTATTTATGGACCACCCCCCCAAAGTGTGCTCCACCCCATGTGACTGTTACTGAAACTCCACACAGTCTCGCCTGTCAGGTTGAAGATGTGACAAAGCATCTCCATTCAACTCTCAGGGTGAGCCTCCTGAGGCCCTGGCCCGACAGAACTTCCCTATCCAATGACCACACGATCCCCTGGCACCTGTGCTCCATTGCCTTCCCCACGTCACCGCTAGTGTGGGTGTTTTTCTACAATAAGGAAAACAAAAACAAAAAACACATACGAGCCAACGAATCACTAGATAAGCTTCCTCATCTATATCTTTCATTTGCCATGCTGTCTATTCCCTATCGCTTCCTTCCTCTTAATCCTCACGTTAGCTAGAACATATCTTCCAGTCTTTGAGTAGCTACAAAAGTAAATTTCCAGGGAATATATGTGTCTATGGTCAGTCACAGTTTTCACGGCCTCTCACAAACCACTTATTTTTTCCTCCTCACTCTCCCTTGTCTATTCTTGTACAGGAAGTACTGCTCGTCTTCACAAACATTGCTAAGTTCTCTGTTCTATGCCTCAAAGGAGCTTTTCATCTTACAGTCCCGGTTTTACAGTCTCTTTGATCCTGTTCAAAGTCTGGATCTCCTTCAGGTGCCACAAAGAGGAGTTTGGTATTGCAAAGTTTCATAGTGTCATTTCTCATAGCTGTCTCACAGGCCCGCCTGGAGATTCAAAATGTGCGATCTGCTGGCAGTGAGCACGGGTGATGGAAGGACTTGAAGTACAGATTTACAAGGACTGAATCCTCTTCTGAAGCCTTCTTTGCTTCCTTAGGTGAGAGGGCATACTGCTCAACAGCCCTCAAAGTCAGGGAAGCTGAGAGAAGTTTCTCTGAGAGAAGTTTCACTGCGCTCAGGTTGGAACAGAATTCGGAGTCCCCGCAGGGGTCATTCCCAGAAGAAAGAGGGAGGTTCATTTCTTAGGAAGCTCAAAGGACTTCTGTGAAAATGTGAAGTAGTTCCCTTCAAAGACTGTTAATTCTTTCAGGTAACCAGTACTCATTGAGGAAACAGGCTCTTCCCCATCTCTAACGTGTCTACAGCAGCAGGATAAACCACCAACTCCTAGGGTCCAAATAAGGCTGTCTGATTCAAAAGGAGTCGCATTCAGTAACAGCATATCTGCACACATGAAACAGACCTGCTGGGGTTGGTAGCTGTGACTTGTCAAGCTTCTGTTATTCGGTGTCAGCAAGCAGACCCTCTCCACATGGCAATAAACATGGAAAAGGCTGTCGTCAGTTTAACATGCAGATAAAAGAAGTACGTGGGCTAGGGATTGTTTTTTTTTTAAAACTGAGTCATTTTCTTTCTCAGCATCAGGATAAGAATCATTAATTTTTAAATCTAAATTCACAGATTTGAAGATACAGGTAGAAATATACACAAACTTGTCTCAAGATAAACATCCATTTATAAGGAATCCAGAGTAATAATTCTTATTAATAATGATTCCTATAACCCTGTAAGCACAGCTGCCCTTGTGGAGCAGGCATCCTCAGCCCACTGGGACAGGTAGCAGTCTTTGTGAGTGGTTTCCGGGCATGGCGCTCCTTACTATCAAGAAGGTCGATATGCCCAAGATAGTCTTGCACAACACAATTTCAGCTGCTTTCTCATTGTCTTCCGCATCATGGTGATGATGCCTTGAACAACTTTTTAGCATATTTCCCCATATTCTGCCTAATTAAATTAATTATGTCTTAGAAATCTGATTTTAGATTTCTATCTATTTTAAGTAAGTTATTTAAAACTCTCTTGCATCCAGTATCCACTAAAATCCACACCCAGCCAACCGCTCACCACACCCACAGGCACACGCTCCTCTACCTGCCACACACAGCACTTTGTCAGCCTGTAACACAAAGGACAACCTACAGGGACCTTTGTGCCCCCTGTAACTCTTTAGTGGTGGAAACACAAAGGAACTGAGAGGAAAGGGGGCTGAAGCATTCTGAGGCAGGAATGAGTTTCAGCCAGTAACTGGCATGCATGATGGCAAATGCACAGCAAATCGACCAAAAAAAAGGCTTCGTTGTCACAGTTTATGGGATGGTATCATTTTTATGCACTGTGCAAATCAAAGATCAAAATAGGAACTTTGAAGCTAGCTTAAATTTTGGTTTAGACACCCTAACTGGCACCCTCTTTTCCCTTCTTTCTCTCCATACTTACTTTGAGTTTGGTGTTTCTGCTACCTGTGCAAGCATGCTAATATTCATCTTATCCTACTCAAGGGAGCTAGGCCCTAGGATGATGAACTAGGTGGGGTCACCTCCAGGTGTCCAAGATACAGCTTCATGATCTGCTGTGAATGTGTATTTTGTTAGTAGACAAGGAGCTAACCAGACACTGGTGGCCACTCTACATCCTGTCCTCAACTTAGGACCTCAGAAGTCATGATGCTGATGGTCAAGGAGGTACCAGTCTTCACCTTCACATCATTGCCCCCAGTCAATACAGGCATACATGGGTTGTGGCCAATGCTGCACTGCTGAACTCAGAAGCGTCTCCACTTTCATTTCTGCCTTTCCTACCTTCTGAAATGAAGCCTAGGTCTCCCAGCTGGATAGCTGCAACCTTCTGCCGACCCATGTCCCAATCATCCGATACATATACTTTGACCCTTAGCCTTCCCACAGTACCACTATAACCCTACTTTCCCCCTAGCTCAGAATCCCTCACCAGCTTCCTGAAGCCTATACAATAAAGTACCAATACCAGGGCCAGCCTTTAAGACCCCCCATAATCTGGCCCCAATCTACTGTCCTAATTATAGCTGATGCCCCTGCCTCATGTGAAATTGGGCTACAGTCAAGCTGATTTACACTGAGCACATATAACTACTCTTCCTCCAGGAGAGACTGGAACCCTCCTGCAATGCTGTTGAGAATATAAAGTGGTGTAGTCACTGTGGTTTGGTGGTTCCTCAAAAACTTAAACATAGAATTATTATATCATGTACCGATTCCACTTCTGGGTACGTACCCAAAAGAAATGAAAACAGAGACTCGAACAGATACTTGTACACACATGTTCATAGCAGCATTATTAGCCACAGTCAAAATATGGAAAACATCCAAACCTCCATCAGCAGATGAATACATAAACAAAACATGGTAGATACATACAATGGAATATTACTCAGCTCAGCCTTAAAAAGGAATGAAATTTTGATACATGCTACAACATGAATGAATCTTGAAAACATGTGCCAAGTGAAATAAGCCAGTCACAAAAGGACAAATATTGCAGGATTCCACTTATATGATGAGGTACTTAGAATAGTCAAATTCAAAGAGACAGGAAGCAGGCTGGAGGAGCAGGGAATGGGGACTGAGTGTTTAATGGGTACAGAGTTTATGTTTGACGTGATGAAAAGCTCTAGAAATGGGTAGTGGTTCAGACATCCTAACAACAATGTGAATGTACTTTATGCCACAGAATTGTATGCTTAAAAATAGTTAAAATGGTATACTGCAATAACTGCCCTTCTCTGAAAAGGCCTTCCTCAAGACACACTTTCCCACCAGTCTACCTTTCCCTCTTCCATGCCTTCTAAATATGACCCTCCCACTTTGAGATGATTCCATGACATTATTAACCCAAAGTGATCATTCAGTCCTCCAGTCACTCTGGTCTTAGAGCTTTCAAACTCTTCTTTGCTGAACTACTTTTTTGGCACATGAGAACATGAAAGGACCTTGGTGATTGATCATCTAGTCCAGCCTTCTCAATTTACAGATGACTAAACTGAGACCCAGAGAAGTTGTGATTTCCCTGTGTCCACCAAACGTATTAATGACTGACTGAGACAGACCCCTGTGCAAAAGTTTACTCCCTAAATGTCACTTTTCATATGCAACATGAATAACTCAGAGTGTAGAAAAGAAGTAGGAACAAGAAAAACAGAAGTCAGAACACACAATAGAAAGCCTGTAGTAAAAACCACTGTTCTTGGCTCATTTACCCACAGATAATCCTTACATCCACCCTTAGGGCTTTCCTTTCAACACATAATAGTAATAGTTGTTAAAATTACAATCATCTGAATTCATAACATATTAAATTAGTAAATTCCAAAAGGGGGGATTTTTTTATGAAAAAGAAATTTCTAACAAGACAAAAAGTAATTAGGAAAAGAAAATCTATAACAGGCAGAAATGCTGACAGTGTAAATAGTGATAGGTCACCTCCTGACAGCAGGGGAGAAGGAAGAACATTATTTTAAAAAGAAATTTAAATATATGAGATCATTTAATATAACGAAAAAACACTTCGCCCACATAGGTTGCCTCTGAAGACATCA